TTCTGAAAGGTGAGGAAAAAAATACTATAACATGCTTTCCTTGAGGAAAAAAAAAAAAAAAAGAAAAAGAAAAAAAAAACAGAATAATTCCCATTTGTGTATTTGATTGATTGCCCAATCCCACCACGCCATCTCATCGTGAAGCATCATCCCTCGAATACTTGGTATCCGTCTATCGAGCTCAAACACATGGAAAAAAAGACTCCCACCCCAACTTCGACCTCAACTCTCTCCCCTTGGAATACCCGTCAAGACACCTTCCTCCTTGGGCCCCGCATTACCACTACTTTCGCATCGACGACGCTCTTCGCTTTCGGAGCTCCACACGCTTGGCCTTCTCCTCGTGCACACGCGCAGCCAACAGCTTGGCATAGTCGTTACTACATTACCAACGAAAAAGAAAACAATCAGCATAAATTCACCCATGAGTTCATTGCCACCACTGTGATCTAGTAGCGGTGGGCTTGAAAGCAATGTCAAATATTTAAGGGTCCGGCTTACGCTTGTTCCTTGGCAGCCTCGGCGCGACGGCGCTTGAGGGCGATCCGCTGGCGCTTGCGTTGGAGGCGCTGGGGGGTGACAAGACGTTGAATCTTGGGGGCCTTGGTATATTCCTTTCCATTCTTGCCAGTGACGGTGCGCCGGATAACGAATTTTCTCACATCATCCTTCTTGTCGAGACTGAAAAATTTGCGGATCTTGGTGGCACGCTTGGGGCCGAGTCGCTTGGGGTTGACGACATCTGTAAGGCCGGGGAGTTCGCCTTCGCCCTGCTTGACGATGCTGAGGGCCAGGACGCTGAGGTCGAAGTTGGTAATAGCTGAAAATCGATTGTTTTAAACGCGTTAGACAACGGTTCTTACTTTTCTAATTCTCTTGCTCTCATACAATGCAGGGAATAAGAGAGTACATACCTCCACGAACACTCTTGCGCTTTCTCTCTCCCGTTCGGCGGGGGCGGTAACAACTTTTTATTCAAATTAGCACAGAAGCCCCCTACAATTTGCAGTATAAAGCGAATTGAGTATTACCTGTGTCCATCGCTGAGGAGCAGTCTAACACGTGTTGGGACCAAGACTGCGGCAAAATATAAGTTATTAGATTCCTTATTTTATCCTCACTTCCAGCTACCCTTTTCTTGGTCGAATTAAAACATACCACCCTGCTTCATAGGGAAACCTGTTCGTTTCAATACAAGAGTCAGCAAACCGTTTCCCACGCATCTAACACTTCCAAAACAGTCTTCCTCCAAAGGTTCTTGCTTATCCGCCCGTACCTTGCTTGTCGTTTCCACCAGTGATCCTGAATAGATATCCTTTGAATTCATCTCCTAGAGAATCGCCGGGAACCTATAAATACCACAGTAAAGGAATCAGCACGAGGGTCTACTCTAAAGACATTTATTTCTAACCGGCAGCTAGACCGTAAGGACGCAATTCTTGCCCCAGGGACACCGCAGGGGAGGGAAGATGTGGGGGTAGAGGGAATTGCTGACTTCGGATCCCATGCGCTTCTCCATAAACGGTCTGAGTTTGCGTTCATCTTCAATCTCGATCAGTTTCTGAGACCCATTGGCCGGGTAGGATATGTTGAGCTTCATCTTGACGAACGTTCCGCGGTCAAGACGGGAGGCGCAAAGTTGTCGGTCAGGGAGGTCGGTCGGTTGAGGTCGTCGTCGTCGTCAAGCGTTCGTGATATCGAATCTTTGTTGGTGGGTTTTGCTGGCGTAGCGAATTTGCAGACTGTGGGCTGTTGACTAAGCGACGCCTAACCTCAACAGGATGGTCATATTATATAAGCAGCCCTATCCGCCAAGACGCACTATTTTTCGATGTTTTTTTGGGCCATGACGCACGTGATCTCGATTCCGGCTCGGCTCTCCTTGATTTTCAGAGCCTTGAGATGAGATAAAGATCCAAATACGTGAGTTTTGTATTTCTACTATGAGATATGTCTTGCGTATTATCTCTATATTAAGTATTTAGAAGGTATCTCCGAAAACCACAAAGATGTACTTTTTTTCGAGGTATCTAGCAGGTTGTGCTAGCGCAAAGCTAGTATCTATATCTCCCCCTCTTATATTACGACACTCCACGGCATCTAGGTACAAAAACCGTTGGGTCAAACACGCAGTTTCTCGGTTATGAAACTGAGCGATTGATAGGAGGAGCTTTGGAAGTTTTGAGTTAAGTAAGATTTATCAAAAAATACAGGCTGAGCCCGTACGGTTAAACATTGTCGTGCCAGGGCAACATCTCTCCATACTTGATATCATGGATAGAAGGTAGATTGTTCTGTTCGATGAAATAAGGGCATGTTTTGACCTGTAGTAATTCAAGGTCGAAGGCTCGCTGGGGGATCTCAAATCAATCATCTGAACTTTCGTACTGACGACGTTCGTAGGCATCTGTTTAACCCTCACTCCATCGCCAGCTCAATGCCAACAACTCAGATCAGAGCAAGTATTGGAATATCAAAGCTGCAGGGTTATTTCGGAGCCTTCCCTCTGTTAGAGTAAGAGCGCTCTGTCTTTGCCTGAGCAAGTGACAATACCCCACGGAAGCGGCGTATAAGGTGGTCTGGCATAAGCCGGGCGACTTTTCCTTTAAATATTTTCACCTTGACCGAGGAGCTTTTGGAGGCATCGTTTTGCAGGCTTGCCAGCGCATCTCACGTTGCGTTTTTTGCAGGATAATGTTAATTCATCACTCTCTCCCTCCCTCTTCTTTTTTAGGGATTTATTTGTCTGGGATTAATTCTTTTGACTTATTGCTGTTCGCGAGTCTGCAAACAAACTCTCCTGCGTCCTCCATTTATTGCTGGGCCAAATTAAAATCCCCAACGGCTGCCAGAAGCCGCCTCAAACCCCCTTCCCACGCAGGTATGGACGATGTGCTGGTTGGGAGATAGCTCCAGGGTCTTTTCTTATATGTCAATTTCCGAAATTCCCTTTAGACATGCGTTTATTTTACGGTCTGGGCCATCGCTTTCCAATGCCAGCTCCTCCCCGTGTCAGATTTCCGATTCGAGCCGATCCGCTTACTTCTTGGCTGGTTTTGGTGATTCGAGTGGTAGAAATATTCCAAAGATACGACATGTTTTCTCCAGGGAGGAGTGTGGACCGAATGACTTTGTTTTGAGGTACGGATTCAGTTTTTTGCTCGTTGCAAATCATTATTTATATCCCTGCTCTTCCGGATTCATCAGCCACAGGCTAATATTAGCGTACTTTTCTTGACGAAAATATGGCAGTCATCCCATGTGGGCCGCTGTAGTTGACATTGACGAAGCTCAAAGGGTTTCAAACATTAAATGGGCTTGATCGCCGGTTGCAGACTTGAAGACCCAACCCACTGTTAAATGCTGTTGGATGATCAAAGAAATTACACGGGCATTAACAGACCAAGATGTTTCATCGAAGTTCACTATCCTCACCGCATCGTTTACGCTCTGGGATATTTGGCGACCATTCGAACAAACTATGCAAGCTGGGAAGGGGTCTGCTCTAAGCCTTCTATCCATATCCACGAACCCTAAACGGGAAATATGGATCGCAAATTACATGGAGTTAATCGTTATATGGTGGTTAGATAGGCCGTTTCTTCCAATCTTCAATGATGATAACGAAGCTCAAAAAATAAGTTCTCTAGGTTCTTACAAAATCGAGCCGTGCGATGGAGCCGAATTCGCGGGAGAATAGCTTGTCTCCAATTCTTTCATCCTTAATCAGATACGCCAGAGACAACAAACGGTTACTAGATTAACGAAGATGCAATATTATGGTTAAAGGACCAGGATTCAGGTTGACTTAGCCATGCCTGTGCAGTTGGTTGCAGAAGAAGATTTTGGGAACAGGATATGCTTCGCTCGATTCCCGAAGAATTCCTGTTTTGGCAACTATGAGCCATGGTGGCCATTTGATGCTAGCAAGCCGAGGCTGTTCGAAGTGTTGGCGGATTTACTTTGCATGATGTGCATCTTGATCCAACAGCCCACAGGATGTTAGGTCAGGAATATTTGATGATGTTATTACACTGTGGCTCGACTAGACGGGCCACTCAACTTCATGAGCGCTTGTGCCAACAGCGCCTACGATAACTCTGGTCTTTGAGTCAGTCACCGACCGCTTATGGGACCTGTGCTCAAGCCGCAAACGACACAAATGCGGGGCTATCCCATTTGATAGCCGCATCCCTGACCAGCGTTGGGAATCACACCGGATTATTCGCTGCATGTCTTATTACGCGATATGGCCGCGTCCAGTTTGGGACAATTGGATAATTGGATAATCGTTTTTGGCTTCGATTAGCCTCTCTTAATTTTGTTGTCGTTGGAGCTGGCATTGTGAGATTCTTGGACGAAACGAGATGTGATGAACCAGCAAAGACGATTTTATAGATGCTCTCCTCTTACCGCCTCTGTGTTTTCAATGGCTTCCGGCGCTCCATGCTCTTTGTTTATAAAAGCGACGGAAAACAACGCGCATTTTCTATCATTATTTGTACTACTCTCTTCTGATATTATTGTCACTTCCTGTTGTCCCGCACTCTCCGCCATGCCAATGCGGTCTATCCAATGGCCGTTTGTAATTTCCCTCTGTTGGAATCAGCAATTCTTCATCACGTTGTTGCAGCGCCAGCCGATTGGATGTCTCGCCTCAAAGGACCTGTGCAGTTTTCCGCTTTCATCGTGGACAAAGGAACCAATACAATAGTTTAAGTTTTGTGGACAGGACACTACAACAACACAGGCTGCAGCCCAGCCCACGACCGCGATTGTTTGCAACTGTTGGGTTGCGCAGACCAGAAACAAAGAAGAGCGACTAAAATAAACCAAACGTGGGTTTTTCTAACAACAAAGGATTTTGACGCTCGTGAAGCGACCCTATTCGCCACGTTCAAGCTTAATATCTTACAGAAGCCAATTTGTCCATTCAGAATACAAGAATTCGAGTTAGGAGTTTCAATCCTTCTTCACTCGTTCGTGTCTTCTACGTCCTGCTTCGATATCTTGATATCTATCTTTTCTTCTTCCTTCGCTATCTTTTTCTTCTTCCTTCGCTATCTTTTTCTTTTTACTCTTGCCTTTCCTTTCCTTTCCTTTCCTTTCCTTTCTTTCTTCGTTTTTCATTACTCTCGTTTCCTTTCTCTTTCTCGAACACCCATTCATGTCTTGGGATCGAGTTCTCCCAAAACCTCCCGCCCTGCATTATGATCCCACCGGCCGTGATTTGCCCACCAGGACCAGCACCCCAGTGGATCATCGAATTATGACAGACAAGTTCTCCAAGATTGCGGCTGAAGAAAATAGTCACCAATCTGTCGGTTTAGATGGCAGAGTCCTGGCAGCTTCTCTATCAAGAACCACAATCCCAAGCCCCGAAAACCCCATATTAGCTGATATCCAGCCTCTCATCTCACCAATTGCCAGAAAGAGAACTTGTTCATTGATCACATCCGAAGCTGAAAGACAGGAGCGATCCGCATCCTCAAGCTCTTCAAAGTCCACATCGTCGAAAGAATCTAGCCTGCAATTTTGTCTCTGTCAGCCCGATCCCAAAATCCCTCGCCCAAGAAATGGTCCGTTGGTCTAAGTCCTTTGTCGCAATTTTGTTTTTTTACCTCTGAATAAAAGAAGGGCGGAACATATGTTCCGCCTTGTCTATCCCTTTCGTTCTCCGTTTTTGTTGCGTTGCTTGTTGGCCTCACAATGAACAGTATGTTAATTTTATTTATCCTCCGTTTAATTAGCTTTCATTCTTTTCCGCCAGCATTTCCAAGCATCAGTCGTTGCCCAAAATCCTGGCCTTGCAAATCCCGAAATATCAAAGATCATAGGTGAAAAGTGGAGGACTCTTCCATTAGAATCGAAACAAGATTGGAAGAATCTGGCGGAGGTGAGAAATTCGTATTTCTTTTTGCAATGTTAACATTTTCCCCAATTATAAATAGAATGGAAAGCAAAGTATAGGGTTTTGATGGTGGACTAGGAGGAAAAAGCTCGACACCAGCAGCAGTACCCTGATTATCGATACCAGCCTCGCCGTTACGGCAGAACCGGTGGCAACAGCGCAGCGACTACCTCAGGCATCAGCAACAATCCGACAGGTGCTTCTGTATGCAACAGATGTGGTGGGCGGGTCATGAATCCTCCTTCTACGCCAAGTACACCATTCACCTCTTCTGGCTCAAGTCCGGTAACTTCCACCTCGTCCTCCTGTCAGTCAATTCAGCCTGTGCAACGAGATTTTCAGGTGAGACGGTCTGAGGATAGTAATAGGCTGCCAAGTCCTATCCAAGTAACAGGGAGTATGGATCGTCGAGTAGCAGTCCGTAACCAACTTCGTGAAGAGGCTACGCCTTTGGCACCTGATGTCAAGCGACGGCGTTTCAACGGGAGCGGTATATATGTTCCTAGCCGTGATTTGAGTCCCGAATACCCATACTCACCCCGAAGGACATCCCTTCCGCGGCCGGATAGCCTTTACCTTAGAACTCCTTATTCATCAGGGGCTACTCCGCCTGGCCGTCCTTACCGGCATGGAGCAACCCAGCATATACCTCTTGATTCCAGTTTGACCCTTCCACCACTTCAGACAATGTCTCTCTCACAACAAAACCAATTTAACGTTGAGGCAAAAGTGATGAGCATATCGCATCTCAGCAAGATCAAGGTTCTCGCGCGAATTTCTCCTCCAGTAATGGCATGCCCCTCCAAGGGACACTCTATCAGACGAGGAGCTTTGGTGGCAGTTGAAGGACAAAGGCGAGAGTCTGTCAAGTACATGATCCAACACCTGCAAGCCGCTTTATCAAAGGATGGCAAGAACATTGTCCGAGTATTTGAAGGCTCAGAAGCAAAACTGCAGCCATGCGACAGTGAAACGACAGAAGATTCCTGTGATCCAACCGTCCAATATCTTAAAACAATATCTGCCTGGCACACGATATCCAATGAAATCGTGTCTTTTATCAAAGGGGGGCCAGAGTCACCCACACAGTCAGCTGCACCGGAGGGGTGTGCCACCAGCGTATCCCCTCGGTCTATCATCCCCAAAACAGCCCAACTTCGCATCAGCTCTCCAGATGTCCTTTCCCCCCTGACTGCACCTACGCTGGCGCCTACACCCACATCCGCGTCCGCGCCGGCAACTGCATCGATGCCCGCAGAATCCGAATCACCGTTCCGATTTGCTCTTGTACCACGTTACCAGCTAACGACAGCCGATACCCACGCATGTGCCATCCCCATCAACGACGCTTACACGCCCACCGACCACTGGCAATGGATGGCCTCGCTCTGGCGCGGGTGCGCTGGCCCTGATGTCACAGTATTGATACGAGACTGCGAAAAAGAAGAGCTGGACAAATTTGGCGGAAATCCGGTCGAAATACGGCTAGAGGAGGCTCGAACTCTAGTTGTGCGGCAGGTAGGTAATTCGGCACAGGGGATTGAAGAGAAGGCGTTGAGAAGGGTGGGGTTTGAGGTTGAGGAATTCTTGAGGAAATAGAGGTATTTTTATTTTTATTTTTTTTTAACTTTACTTCTTTTATTCTATCGATCACCAGGCTTCATAAACTTATTAATTACATTGGGGAACTGATATCCAATTGTCTCTTCTCCATCTCCATCGCTTCGATTGCTTTCCTTCCATTTTATAAGTGCTCTCAAAAAAACAAAAAAAAAAAAATTATCTCCAGACCTGGCTTTGCATACAAAATAGACGTTATTTTTCAATTTTTGCCATGTATCATTTGCCCTTTCTTCGTCCATGTTTCTATGCTTCCTTAGTTTTCTGTCACTCCCCTTTTCATCCTCTGCGAGAGTGACATTATTAGCAAAAAGACATCACCTTGATATATGCATGGGTTCAGGATCTGCCACAGGTACCGTGTGTTTTAATCTTCTACTATATTTCCTTGTATTGCTTCTCTCATTTTACCTTTTGCATCATGACCCTTGATGGCCAGTCTATTAGATTTACTGTTCCACTTTACCTACTTATTCTTCCCGTTCCATTGGCCCTTTACCTGAATGGGGGAGCCGTCTGGTGCTGATGAAGCTGTTATGATTAGCGTTACCTGATTTATCATTAGTTATTTATAGTTAGAAATAGCTTAGAGTTCTTGGCAAACTCCCACATCCCGTGGATATTAGTTCATCTTTGAAGACTTTTTTCCAAATAATCAAGATTTTTTGAGCAGTGCTGGACCGACTTTTATGGGAACGAAAGACAAGAGCTGCTTGGAGTAAATAAGGTTCAACACTTTAACTAA